TATATATATATATATATATGCACACAAATAGGTGTGTATCTATATTTTTTTTATAAAATCGTATGTGTTTATATTTTTTTATAAAATCGTGTTTGTATACATTTTATAAAAACGTGTTTGAATAATTTTTTATATAATACGTGTTTGAATATATTTTATAAAACCGTGTTTGTATACATTTTATAAAATGTATACAAACACGTATTATATAAAAAATTATTCAAACACGTTTTTATTAAAAAAATGTGAACAAACACGATTTTATAAAAAAATATAGATAAAATAGATGTTTGTATACATTTTTTTTTGTAAAATACGTTTTTGTATACATTTTTTATAAAAACGGATTTGTATATATTTATATACTTAATAAATACATATTTTTATAACTAGATATTTCATATACAAAAAAATTTTAAAAAAAAAAATTTATATAGAAAATATAAGATTTTTATGTGAAAATATGTTTTCTTTTTGTGTAAATATGATTTTATAAGGAAAAAACATATTAGAAATTTTTTTTTGAGAAAAAAAGTTGTAAAAAAACTAAAGTTATGATGAATTCATAATAAAATTCTAAAATTTGGGCAAAAAGGGTAAAGTTTGGACCAAATTTGTAACAAAATTTAAAATTTGGGCAAAAAGTGTAAATTTTAGACCAAATTTGTAATAAATTTTGAAATCTGGGCAAAAAATATAATTTTTGAAAGTTGGATAACCTGTTGACCGGGTCAAATGGTTAAATTGAATACGATTACCGGTATTTAGGACTTAATTGAATAAAAAAAATATAGGGACTAAATCGATTATGAGGCCAATATGTAGGGACTTTATTGCAGTTTCTCTGTCCTATTTTACTCATTCCAACATCTTTTTCTCACTTCTCTGTTTAAAGATCTATCAACAATTGAACTTTTTAATAAAAGTGTCGTTTCATAGTGGTTTTTCTCGATTTGGGTTTTTTATTCTAAAATTGTTAATGTCTTTTTTTATTTTATAAGTGAAATAAAAGGGGTAAATGGGTAATTAATTTTATATATTTAACCCTTATTTTTAATAGCCTTAACTAAAAGGACTATGGATGTTAATGTTGGATATAATCTTGATGTGGAAGATTGAGTTGAATAAAAAAAAGAATGGGTCATAGCTTTGACCGATATGCATGGGTATTATGGAGATCATGTATGCATGTTGCGTAGAAAAGGTCCTTCATGACCTGGTTTTTAGGATGGTTAGTATTTAGTTTGTTTTCTTTTTTCTCACGTGGTGTGTAAGGCCTATATAAGGCATATGTTTGTTTTCAATAAAGATGTGTGCAGAGTTTTTAGTACTTCCCTGTCATTGTTTATTTAATCTCTCTTTCTTTTATCTTTGTGTGTGTATAGTAAACAAAAGGTTGCAGGTTTACATCCTACAGTTAAGACCATTGATGTTTATAATCCCATGGAAGAAGGATGAATTCTGCCCCCCCTCAACCTCCCACTTTAATCTACGTACCTTTTTGTTTTAGGTCAAGGTTGCGTAAAAGTTCCACTTTATGAAGTCGTTTTTCCACTTAGTACAATTTTGTCTATCAGGTGTGGATTGGGTGATCCTTTCGGCTTTATCTTGCACTTCTTCAATTTTCTTCTTTAGATCAGCCACCTCCGTATTTTCTTTTCTTTTTGGTTAACATTTCCTCTCCAAGCTTTTAAAGAACCTTAGATCGCTTTAAGTTTCTTTCTCCAAATGGAATTTGGATTACCATTTAAGGAATTTTCGGACCAAGTTTTGACCACAACATCTCTAATACCGTCTATTTTTAGCCACGGGTAGTAAATTTTAAAGGGGTTTGGTCCGCAGTCACAACATTCTCCAAGTAGGACTATTGGGCAATGATCGGAATATTAACGTTTTAGTTCCAAAACTGATGCCGCCGACCATCTTTACAAAAAGGAACCACAGAAGAAAAAATTGTCAAGTTTGCTTAGACTTTTCCCATCCTGACTCATCCAAGTGAATTTCTTTCCACCCATGTTTATATTCAATATTCATGCAAGTCCGTCTTTCGAATGATCTGTGAAACTGATTTGAGCTAGCCAGAAACACTGTAGAAACAAGACATTCTATCATTTATACTCCTTACATCATTGAAATCTCCCACCACTAGCCAAATAGAGTTCAAAGAGTTTTTTAATAAATTAATTCGGACCATCTACGAGTTCAGTCTGATTCATTCCTTGGGCATAAACATTAACAATAGCTACAGTATAGTACTGTATGGACATGGTGACTGTAACATATATAGAGGAAATTACTAATTTATATGCAATTAAAGAAAACGTGAATGCCGATTTATACAACTTCAACTATATATTATAGTGTCTATGAACTGAAGACAAAAGCACTACAACTAAATCTAGCATCCAAAATCTTCAGAGGATGACAATTCTTTGGCCTCAAATAACTATGAAATAGTGCGTAACTGGGTAGTGAGATGGACGAAAGCTTCTTCATGGCAAGGAATGGTAAGTCCTCCCATTGGATGGTTGAACCCGAACTCCTCCTCTGACCTACGTAACAAGTCTTGAAACAATGGTTGATCCAAGAACGATAAAGGAACCAAAAACCGTTTCCTTTGAATTTCTCCAACGTACACAGCCAAATATCCTTTGGGAGCATCTCGCTGAAGGTGCTTCTTGTTGTTGTTGTTCAGTTTAATAATCTGTTTCGCATTTGCAACTAATGAATGCAACCTGAAAACACCCATATTTCTTGACCGAAAGAAGAAGATAATCTTTTTGGTAGAATTAATGAAATGATTGATAGAAGTGGAAATTAGATTGAAGCTGTTGTGATGTTTTTTTGAAGCGGTTGTGATGTGATGAAGGTTTCAGGTTTAACGTTTATATTTATAGTGTATATACTTGCAAGTTGCAACTGGCAACCCAGATTGGAAATATTTTAGGGGCTTTACTTTTCTTTTTGAAGGGGCCTACAACATGTGAATTGGGAAGCCTCACATGGCTTTGCTCAGTTTAGCACACTATATTAGAGACTTTTTCTAAGCCATTGATCAGTCAATATACAGGAAACTTGGCCTACTTGTTTCTCTGAGGTCATGATCATGAGGACTCAGCGATCAAACTTTAATATTTGAATCAGCATCTTTTTCTGAATTACGATACATGATCATGAGCTGCCCAACTTGGAATGATGATAAAGATAAGCCAACTGTTTCACCTCAACGAACTTATAGTACCTTCTTTTTTTTTTTTTTTGAACCGCCGAACTTATAGTACTCATGGATACACTTTGGTTATCTTGTATCAGGTACATGTGGGATCCAAGTCCCAAGGGTACGACAGATTTATTTATAATATATATCATTTATAGAATAAACACATGCGAAAATATCTTTAACACAGATAATTAAAAACCATAATTAAATGAAGCTGCAAAATATGATATCATAACTTTAAAGTTATGACCATTATCCACGGAACAGAAAAGCATCCAACAAATTAATGAATTATATTAGAAATGATGAATTAATGGAAAATAAATTTGATACTTGAATTGATAAGATAGGCGACGTAGCTCAGATTTTCTTTTTCCATGTATATATATTTAGACTGTATCATATCATGATTTCTTTAATTTCTTTTTATTTATTCAAGTGATTAATACTTAATCTCACTTGATAGATTCGAACTAGTGGAGATGCCCATGGGCGCATGTTTATTAAAAAAATCTATAAATATTATTAAAACAGAAATTTTATAACATCATCTTAAACAACTAGGACCATGATTGTATTTCGGTCATAAATTTTCCACCCTCAGATCACTTTGTGACATCACCTACCAAAGTTTTGGTAAAAACTAATTTTTCCATCACTCGTTACCATGTCTAAAGGTAACTTACGGCGTTACCTTTAATACCCGCTGAATTTTCATAATAGAGATTATATCAAATCTCAAAAAATCAGTAGCTTAATTATAGAATCTTTATTTACTTTTTGTAATATTTAATTGCTTTATCATATTAATACTTCTAATTGATTCTAACTGATCTTATATATAGTAAACTGCTTTTCATAAGTCAAATGATATCTCTGCAAAAAAGAAACTTATAAGGTATGCTATCATCCACGATCAACAGTATGTACTTTTATACCTTATTATTTTCTGTTTCACACTTCCAGTTCCTGTTATCAAATCACTACATACTTTCATGAACTCAAACTTCAATATTCACATTAATCTACTTAGTTATTTCAATAAATGTGTTTCCAATAAAACCATTTACTTTGATTTTATTCGTTTTCCTCCTACCATTTACTTTGTCTCTATCAATGTTGTTATTGTTTTTGTTTAAATTAAAACTTCTGAATTAAAAAGAGTTTCAATTTCACACACTTTTGCCTTTATGGAAAATCATTAATGCAACACTCAGTACTATTCAAGCAAAGGGAAAATCTGGAAAACAATTTTTTATCCCTTCATAGTAGGATACTTTTATTTTATACAAATAAACATAATACCAAATGTAATTCTGAACCATAAATACATTGTTATTATGTTCTTATATTTGTATTGTTGTTCTAAATTATTGACTGCTATTAATTTGACATATATTCCTCATACAAAAGAATAGCAGTGTACTTCTGAATCACAAATATGATTTTATTATATTTTTTTTATTTGTATTGCTCTTTTAAATTATTGACTAACGTCAATTTTTTATATTTGTATTGTTGTTCTAAATTATTGACTGTTATCAATTTGACATGTTTGTCCCTACAAAAGAATAGTAGCGTACTTCAGAATCATAAATACAATGTTATTCTGTTTTTTTATTTGTATTGCTCTTCTAAATTATTGACTGCTGCCAAATTGACATATTTTCTATTTACTTCAACTTATTTTTTCTGTTTTTATTTTTTCTGTTTTTGATTTTGTTAAATATGTGCAGATGTTCGTTTCCATTTAGTGACTACTACTTTTTTCTTTCTAATCAGCACCTCACATTTGATAATTTACTGTGGCAAATAATATTATTTTCTCATAATTTTATAATTGATTGGATTTCATGGAATAAAATGATGTAATAAGATGAAATATAAAATTTTGTATTTTAATAGTACCTAATGAATAAAAGAAAAAGAATAGGAGACTAATGGAACTGTCATCTAAAAGTGTAGTTGATGAATACATTATATAAGACATGGATCTTTTTTTTTCTTTGTATTGTATTATTAATATTTTTTTTAAATATATTTCCCCCATTTATTAGTAGTTGATGAAAATAATTTCTTCATACCCTCTGATTTTCGAGTTACTCAAAACCTTACCGATTTACCTTTAGCATCCCCGTCTCATAACATCATACACCCGAATGTGCAATCCACATTTATTTCGTCAAAGTCACCACTTTCACAAATAATCAGTCAAGGCAAATTATTCTTAATTTCTTTTATATTATATTTACCTCTACATCTTAAATCATATAACATCATTTTAATTTCCCAATATATTAACTGTTATCATTAATTTTTAATACAGATATGTCTATAATTTTTAATTTGTATAAGTTATTTTTTCCTTTAATATCCTATTTAATGAGGCTTCAGTTTGGTTGTCCAACTAATGATTTGGATGAGACAAAAGCATTTGCTGAATGTATTCTTAAAATTGGTGAATGTAATATTGGTGGTCCTAATGATGGTGAAGCTGAAGTTGAATTTCTAAAAGACGTTATCGTTCGCTTTACAAGTGACCATATTCATTCAATTGTATCTACCATTTATCTGTCTTTTTGAAAACCATCTTGATGATCCATCATATTTTCAAGATAAAGCTATTTTGGTCCCTACAAATGAAGAGGTTGATGCTACCAATGACTACATGTTAGGATTGATGAAAGATGAAGGGAAAACTTATTTGAGTTCAGATTCTTTATGTGAGACAGAGTGAGCAGATTGTTTTGAGGAATCAGCTTACTCTCTGGATGTATTGAATGCTTTTAAGGCATCTGGAATTCCTAACCATAAACTTACACTAAAAACAGGTGTTCCGGTCATGTTGCTTCGTAATATCGACCAAACCAAAGGTTTATGCAATGGTACTAGGTTACAAATTGTTAGGCTTAGAAAACATGCCATTGAGCCACGAATTATAGCTGGTAGATTCTTCAATGAGACTACTTATATACCTCGAATGAAGTGAACTTCGTCTGATAAAAGAATCCCCTTCCGTTTGCAGCGGAGGTAATTCCCCGTAGATGTTTGTTTTGCTATGACTATTAACAAGAGTCAAGGACATTCATTATTAACTGTTGGACAGTATTTGCATAGATCCGCCTTCACTCATGGTCAGTTATATGTAGCTGTTTCTCACGTAACAAGTAAAAAAGGCTTGAAGGTACTCATATGTAACGAGAAAGATCGCCCAACCAATAAAACAAAAAATATTGTCTACAAAGAGGCCCTTCAACGATTATAGATATTCAGACATTTCATTTTATTTTTTAAGCTTTTCAATATAATCAATAACAAGAAGTGTTTCTGTTACTTTATCATTTTTTTTAATTATCGTGTCGGTTTTTTTTTATGATTTTATATGTATTTTTTATACGTTCCCTCGGGTTTTACACGGGTCATAATCTAGTTGTAGATACTAGATTAGTAGGTTTTTTTTGGTATATAGATGAATAAACCAATTAAAATCACTATTAAAAGCATTTAAAATTGTTGAAGGTATTACAGAGCCTACAATATCTCAACCACTAGGAAAGTCAAATTAATTACAAATCAATTTGTTGTTTATATCCTAATTTATAGCTGGTGTATCCCTTCTTAATACACTATTCTCTTTCCCTTTATCCTATGTAATATTGTATTATTAATACATGTACACTGCTGTTGACAATGCTAAGCTTTTTCCATTCATTTCTCTGTATCATTTATGTGGTATAAGAGCTTTCCGCGCTCAAGTAACGTGGTCCAGTTTATTTCACCTTCAAAGAATTGATGCCCTATTCCTTCTAAATTAGAAACCTCAAAACCCTAAAAGTGGCGACCGCCATCACACATGTCACTAGTACAACGCACTTTCCAATCAAGCTTAATGCCGATAATTTCCTAGTTTGGCGAAAATAGATTCTATCAAGTCTCATTAGATTGGATCTTCATCATTTTATTCTTGGTACCCACAAACCTCCATTGAAGGAGATCGAACCTGGTAAGCCCAATCTAGCGTATGGCTCGTGGTTTAGAAAAGATCAGGTAATCCTAAGTGCACTACTTGGAAGTTTCACAGATGCTATTCAGCCTCTTATTTCATCAGCAGAAACATTTACTGAAGCCTGGCAGCGACTCAATTCAATCTACACTAGTTTTTGATCACGATATAGAATCATCTCCCTCAACTCTAAACTTGCAAAAAAACCCAAAAGGAGCAAGGTCAATTGCTGAATTCCTCCACGACATGATAGCCATAGCAGATGATGGCTCTTATCCAGAGACCCATTGAAGAAGAAGACCTACTCATTCACATTCTCAGCCAGTTAGGAGAAGTGTACAATACCATCATTGCTGACTTAAAAGTTTTAGAAAAACTTGTCAATTATCCGAAATCGTTCGACAAATTAATAGATTTTGAAAGGCTCCTTAATGAGACGACACTAACCTCTCCACCCAAAATCTATAACACCCGGTTCCCGGTATGTATTTTAAATTTAAATAATAGTATGTTTTTGCACTGGGAC